ACGGAAAAATTCTATTTATCTTATCTGATCGATATTATTGAATTGTAAATTCATTCATTTATAGGTTATTTTCATCAATATGGCAGTGGACTTTTCTTTGCCAAATCAGTTCTTGTTATTATTATTGCTCTCTTTCATATCTCATCTTCCTTTAGTAAGTATATCATGTTTAAAATGCTGCTATATATCTCTCCGTGTAGTGCTATCCCTATTTAAATTATATATACTCCTTGATACTTACGCTCGAGTTTTTATGAGGCTGCGCCTCAACTTGGTTATCTCTCTCCCTTGAGCCTCTCGCTCGATTTCTATGAGGCTTAAGCCTCAAGCTATTAATATTAAAATCTACATAAATCTTGAAATAAATCCCGGACATTTGGACTCTAATAGGAAGTAGGAAGGGAGATGTAGCTATGTGTCATTAGATGTGTTGTGATGATGTGCAAGTATGTGATGAGATATCTCTAGTGATGACAGTGCTGATACTTTATGAGGTTCTTAATGTGAGTATGTCATTTGCTATTATTCTTTGGAAATTGGAATTAATGTATTGAGAGTAATATGAAGATAGAGATGATACGTATTGAGATCGAGTGATAGTATATGATAACATGGATTCATTGCTGTAGATTTATGAGGTTTTGATTTTCTTTATCTCTATTATATCTTTTATCTGTGTTTATGTTTTATATTATTCACTCGATTATATATAATATTTTTAAATCGATTTATGTTACGCAATCTTTTGATTTGAGCTTACGCCTCCCAAAACGCCTTGAGCTTTATGCTCTCCCCTCAATAATGTGTGAAAAATGCATCAGATACCAACTCCAAATACGCGAAGTTTTAAAATGCTGATATCATAATTACGAAGCTATTGGTGTCACAATCATATTTTGCATGAGAAAAATCTCTGCTTCTCAACCATTATCTTTTTCTAAGGAAAAACAGATACTATCAATGATATATTCAATGTTATCATCGAATTGATTTTTTATGTCTCCATTAAATCCTAACACCATGGCATTATGACCAAGAAAAACCAAAATACGATTTGGTGGTAGGGTTGGTTGTTGGTTGTTCATTTGTTGAAAAACCAAAATTTCGTTGTCCAAAGAAGAATTTTTTATCAGAAGGGGTTATCGAAGAGTCACTTGTCTACAATTGTAAGAAAATTCACAAAATTTTCATCCTAAGAAAATATGAGACATCCAATACATAAATGTAAGACAAACAATCAAATATGCAGGACATCAGATGAAAATTGCAGGTTAATCTTAATATACAAGCTGCAGTAAGTACTTGATTATATAATATTGAGGAGAAATGACGTGAGATTAACCCCTGCTGACAGCCTGACTGAAAAATTTTCTAGTTATGTAGGAAGAAGAGGGAGCTCTTTCAGAAACAGAAAACATGCAAGAGAGCTCTTTCTGAAATCAAATGATGTTATTTTTGGTAGCCCTCCAATGATCTGGTCAGGAGAGTAGATATATTAGATTTTACTTATGTTAAGAAAGATAGAGATAGACCTAAAAAGACTTAGTTAGATAATATTAAAAATGGTCTTTCTATATTTGATTTAAATGATAATTTGACTCATAACATGACACAATGGAGATAAATGATTCATGTAGCCGACCTCACATAGTGGGATATAGGCTTGATGTTGTTGTTATTGTTAGTATTTCTTTATGGTTATGTTTGGTCTGAAGGGATTGAAACACAAGAAACGAAAGGAAATGGAAACAGTAAATGAATGGGACATATTAGTTTTCACCTATTAGTTTGGTTTTGGAGATATTGAGTGAAAAAAAAAAAAAAATCTTTCTAATTTTATTGATGAGAACTTAAAAGTTTTTATTTCTTGTGAGAGAATATGTACATCACAAAGATAATCGTATAAACTTTTCTGAGTTTTAATCTGGTTGGGCAGAAATTTGTTGATGGAAAAATGCATTTGTTCTTATTTCCTAAGTAAATCCAATTACCTATTAACTACATTGGAATCAGACACCCAATAAAAAATTATGCCCTTTTCAAGCAGTGGGATAAGTTCATAATCATTAGCATGCCATTTGATTGGGATTGACTTCTTGCTAGCCTGATTCTTCCGACGATCCACTACATTTTAAAAGCTTCCGATGATCCACTGCTTTGTTCTTATCCAGTTACTGATGTAGTGGATCGTTGGAAGAATCAAACTAGCAGGAAGGCAATCCCAATCCAAGGAACAAAAATAAGCACAAAGCTTTCAAAAGCTTCAAAAGAGGATAATATTAATCAATTAACGCCCCTTCCTCTTACACATTCCACATATATGATACTCAAATAGAGAAAATCTAGAGAATCCTAGAAGATTCTAGAAAACTTGTAACAAACTTATAGCAAACTAAATAAAATAACCTAAGTAAAATTTTAAGCTAAAATGCTCCGCATCAGTTGACCAATAATTTGACATACCCTTATCCTAGAACCTAATGAAGCTAAGTAGTAATGCACATAATAGATCCTTCACAACAGACTTGTTCTTATTAAAGAGACCCTTGAGCAAGGAAAATGAGATTGAAACGAAGAATAATGGTAAGAATAACGTTGGAGTATCTCTAAGGCCCTGCTATTTTGAAGAGAATGGGTAAAGTAAAGTTATTTACTTTTGAGATGTTTGTTGGACCATCTTCCAACTTTCCAAAAAAAAAAAAAATTCTTCATTTTTCCCTTTATCAATTAAGTATTGATCCTTAACACGCTTGCCATGAGAGAAAATTTTACATAAATTTGACTGATTAGAGTTACACAAAAATGCTAACAAAAATTAGGATTCATGCATCTTATTTTTAAATTTAGATGTTAGGTTTAAGTTAGGTTGCTCCATATTCCTCTAGGAGTCAAAGTTTAAAATCATGAAAATAATCCCTATGCAATGCTAGGTTAAAGTTGCATGGATAAACCTCGCTCTAGAACTCACACATTGGTAGGAAGTTTCATGCACTAATTATGCCCTTTTCAAGCAGTGGGATAAGTTCATAATCATTAGCAGAAGAATTTTGGATTGGCCACTCCATCTGTATAATCATGAATCAAACCAACTCTTGCAAATGTCAAGTTGAGTTGCTATCTTTCCAAAGGCCTCCAATAGCAAGATCTTTTTCCTTTGTAAACTTTGGCTAAGAGTAACAAATAAAAGATGGCTAGGAGAATTTCAGATCTTTACATTTAAACAAAGTGTAATTTCTTTGGCAAATGAGAGAAAGGACGAGTTCATCCACAATCAATATACAAATTAGAGAAGAGATGATTAGAAAAGTAATAAATGTTCATAATCCATCATTTTGCATGGCATTGCACAAAACCTCTACGAGGGTGATAACAAAGGGGGCTGTTTGACATTACCTTGGCATCAATAAAAATAATATGTTTAACTAAACTAAGGTTTCGTTTGGGACGGTTTTTTTACTACTTCTTAAAGCAGGCTTTTAGTAAAAAATTAAGATTTTTATACTAAAAAACTGTTTTAAGAAGCAGTAAGAAAGCCGTCCCAAATGAAGCCTAAATCCTTTTAGATATTCTAACAACTTTAATAGTTCATGGTAAGCGAATGTACATGAACTGAAAGCCAAACATAAAATTGAGGTATATGATGAGCAACAATATCAGTCTTTGTAAGATTATAACTAAACGAAAGAAATAATAATAATAATAGTTAAACTCACCCATACGACCAAGTTTTCATCTCCTTGAGGCCTACTCTGGTCAAGTGCTTTCCGACCAGTTATCAATTCTAGGAGGACAACTCCGAACGCATAAACATCTGTTTTATCTGAAAGTTTGCCATTTTGGAAGTACTCAGGAGCTAAATAACTGCATTGCAATAATACCAAAAATGTTAAATACTTGTGAAGCATTTGAAAGATTTAACTGAGGTTCCAAAAACTCAAATTCTTCAAAATTTTACCCAAAAGTTCCTTTGACTGCTTTGCAAAGGAAAGGTAGGGAAGGACCATGTGTCCATGTAGCCAGTCCAAAATCACAGAGCTGCCAATAAAAATAAGATTTAGATAGATTTCAATTACACACCTAACCAAAAATTGATTAAATAAGCTAAAATATGTAATGATAACACCTCATGATATCATAGGACCACAAAGAATCCCTTGTTCCACAACCAACCTTACTTTTCATAAAGCAAATATTCGTCATGACCGTCTTTTTCTTTATAGGATGTCTCTTCCTAGAGAAATAACCCATTTTTTACAAAGAATTAATGCAGCATGCATCATGATTTTCAGAAGAGCAAAGCATAGGGTTCAGGTAAAAAAAAATCCCTCTTTAAGAAATTATTAGGTGTGGACACCGGACGGAGAGAACAGTCTGATTTTCTCTCTGTCTACAGTCAAAGCTCAGCTCCTACAACAACTATGCTTTGATTGTGCTTTTACTATAGACAGAGAGAAATCTGGATGATTCTCTTTATCCGGTGTCCGCACATAATAATTTTCCCTTCCAAAGAGATTGATATCAGCCCCACTCCTTCAACACACTCAGAAAACAAAATAAGGAAAAAAATATTGCTATTTTCAGATGAACGCTAAAGCAGACATTCATTCCGGATGAATGACCAAGTTTCAAGGGCCCACGAAGTAAGTAGATATTAGAAGCTCAGCTACCAAAACTAGTTGCTGCTTGCGTAGGAAGTCAGCTAGATCTCTATCATTGAAAGAACGGGACAGTCTGAAATACTCATCATAGAATTAAAGGAAATTTACCAAAATTTAGATAAAATCTCATCTGCAACTTTAGGAACAAATGAAAGACAATCAAACAACCAGCAGGGAAGGAGGATGGATGATAGAACCTCACTATCTCACCATTGGACGTTTCTTAGAGGAAAGAAGAATATTTGAAGGCTTTATATCTCTGTGTACTACACACTTGTCGGTGCAGAAATGCAGGTACTCCACCGCCCGCGCCACCCCTACAGCCACCTTGTACCTCACCTCCCAAGCCAGAACCTTTGGCCTCTTTTCTGTAAAAATCCATCACAAAAACAACAATTATATAAAAATTCAAAGCAAACAATTGCATCAAGAACAAAATCTGAGAATATCAACAGGAAAAGGAGAGTTTGTTACCATTTTGATGGAGATGGCGATCTAAACTCCCCCCACAAATGTACTTGTACACAAGAAAAAGTCCCTCCTTATCAATGCAATAGCCAAGAAGTGGAACAACATGGGGGCTACACAGAGAGTTTGCAATCAATAGCTCGCGGCAAAATGCCTTGGCGCTCTCCCTCTCCGGTCCATCCACCCTCTTTATCGCCACCGCCGGCCGCCGAAGACCGTTGCCTATCCTCCCCTTGTAAACCCTGCTTAAAGCCCCTCTCCCCAATTCCCTTCCTGCTTCAGTTCAGTTCATCGTTTATGAGGGCATTTTTAAAATTGCATTTTGAGGGATAAAATTAATTCCTTTACCTCTGTAAAAGTCCCGTGTGGCCGACCGGATCTGTGCGTAGCTGAACCGAACCAACCCACCGGCGACAGGCGCGATGCTCCGCTCCAGCGACTCCATCCGCCGCCATCGCTGCCAGTCTCCGGTGGCTAGTGTTTCCGGGTCATGCTCACGTCTTTCCGCCGCGGCAACTCTTTCATCCTCCATGCTCACAAGAAGCAGCACCGTCGCCGCGGCGGCCGGCGGCGCATCCAGCTCGGCCTCCGCCTGCGAGCCGAAGCTGAACCGGAAGGACGAATTAACCGACTGAGGCTCATCCTCCGACGGCTCTCCTCTAGCTTCGGCAAGTAACCACGACTTGTTTTCCAGGCCGCTGGCCTCGCCTCCCCGCCGCTGCCGCCCTCGCCAGCGTCTGCTACATCCTTTAGGCGGCGGAAAGGTAATACCTTTCCTGCGGCTAACGACGCTCTGAGAGATTCCCATAGGAACGAGATCAGTCTACCTGCCCCCACTCTCTAGACTAAAAAATAGAAAGAGAGAGACGATGCTGGCACTTAGCAACAGGAGGCTCACCAACTGTACTGTAATTTAACAATCTAGATTCACTCTTTAAAACTGTATAAATATGATGGGAAAGCAGACGAAAAATCAGAGAATTCGCGATTTCTTGGGTAGCTTTCGCTCAGGGAAGAGAAGAGAGTGGGGGCATCGGAGGTTCGTAGATTGGGAGCTAAGCAAAGATGGTACTGCTAGTTTATTAGTAGGCTGTACACTGTGCGTGGAGTTTAAGACGTGGTAGCCAATTAGCAAAATTTCAGCGACATTTATGGGACAGTTTTCTGCTTTCAGCTTGCTAAGATATTTTTCGGATTCTAAAAAATGCTCGGTGTTTGTGTACAATTTATGTAAGGTTTTAATTGTTCTTGCCATTCATTCTGTAAAATAATGGAATTTATACGAAATTTCAATCCATATATTAAATGAGATAAAAATAATAATGGTTAACTTAATTATTGTAGAAAAGGGAAGAAAGAAGTATTGCAGAGAAATAAAGAAATCCGTATATCTCTTCTTTACAGATACAAGTATGAATATATAGACTTTACTTAGCCGTAGAGTGCACGTGTCGAGCAACGATAGGTTATTGTTTTAATACAATGAATGTGGTATTTATTCTTTCTTGCTGTTGTCTTCTAATAATTATACTCTGCATAATATAAAATAAAAAATATAAATATAGGTATATTCAACTTAAAATTTGTTAATTTGAATCTTAATTAATTGCCTCTTAAAGTAAAGTGATCATGGATGTATGCTCTTCATCTTATTCTCTCTCTCTTTTTTAATGTCATAAATGTTTCTTCAGGGATAAGAAGCATTATTTTGCTTTGGGGCAAAATTAAACTAATCATCTAGGACATAGGTAAACTAACATATCAATCGAATCACTTATTTTACCAACAATAAAAATGACCAGGTCTATATTGACGTTCCAACAAAATGTTAATGCCCACATATAAATATATTAATCAATCCCTTTCAAATCCTTTGAAATGAGGTAAATTATAGCTCTATAACTATATTAAGCCAAATATCCTCTCTCAATGAAAAATTATTTTGTGCCGAAGTGGAATCTCGTTCGGATGTCTAAGCCCGCGGCTTGGCACTGCTCAGTACAGTGGTTCCGCCGCTCGGTACCATGTTAGATATCACTGACGTTGCTCATTCTGATTAGTATCAGGATGTAGAGTTGCGTTCGACGTTCGAACAGATCTCTCCACTTCAATTGGAGCCTAAGCTTGCTTGTAAAATCAAATAATAATAATAATAAAATCTCATAATATTTTCTTGTCCATGCCCCTATAAACAAAAATACGCTAAAAGTGCAACGCCCAAAAATATAAAAAGAAAAATAAAATATAAAAATATATTAAAATTGGCAAAATGTAAATATTAATTTTTTTATGCTCAAAGAAAAACTCAATCTTTTACACTAAGTTGATTGAGGCCGTCAAATTCAAATTAACGAAAGATTATTACTGAATCAATATCTTATTAGATACAATCAACTATGTTTAGCTCAAAATTAAACCAAAACAAAAAACAAAAAGAAATCATAAAATTCCTCCAATGAAATGATTAGCTAGATTGCGATGGTGTCATTATAGCACAATTATAATAAAAGTTTGCGACAAGTATTCTTTTGTTGGATTATTAGCATGATTGTGATGAAGCCATTATAATATGATTATGAACAAAATTCATGTGGGTCTTTTGCCAAGCATTTGAGCTTTCTTGTTATGCTTGATGAATATGATGGTACAAAGCCCTATATATTATTGAGCTAGTTTGAAATCAATCACATAGTTAGCTTCCACCTACAAATATTGGAAACTCATTTTAATCATAAGATAAGAGAAGCAACCACATTAAGAGATTGCGATTAAAAAAAGAATTATGCATGGGTTGCTATATGAGGATTGAGAATTCTTAATATAAGCAATTATATAATAAGAATGAACAAAAGATTTATAATAATTCAGCCAGATAATTTACATCCATTATAAAGAGAGTTGACGATAAATATTCACTATATGATATGATATGATAATAATATATGCACTTTAGTGAATAAATTAAGTCATTATAAGAGAAAGATAAATGAGTAATTGATATAATATGAGTTGTTTAATCATATGTTATTTTAATGTATTCATAATAATGGCCATATTAAAACATGAATTGTGCCTTTATAAATTATTTGACATATTAAAATGATAGTGTCTTACATTTTTTATAATAATAAATATTTGGCATTTCATGCTATGATAAATGTGTTAGGAAAGCTAATTTATTATCTCCTTATTGTATTTCATATGTTTGCATAATAAGTATTATTAAAATCAATGCTTAAGATTGACTTAAGAAGAAATACAAATGCAAATGAATGTCTGAGAGGATGTCAAACTCACTAAGAGGAATTCTCTCGAAGGGACTTTTTTGAAAGATTAAGCTTTGGTTTAGAAGTTGAAATGTAATGACATTAATAACTTTGTCCATGTCTATAATGGAGAAATCTTTTGAGACTCGAGTAAGTTTTGATTACACCGCTATTGTTTATAAATTCGCCTTGGATGATACAACATATAGCTATCAATATAGGTACTCAAGTAGTGTAGTTAGACTAGCTACCTTCAATAACTAAAAGACTAAGATTTATGACCTACTTTGATTGATGAAATAATGGACTATTAATTAGGCGAGTTATCGATCCCCCAAAATAAAATTCTTAGAATGTAAGAGTTGATGACCCCTTATTTTACCTGAAAGATTCATTACAACAATGCATATAATCAAAACTCCCTAATAGAAGAAGAATTCATCATTTTAGGTGCTTGCACTCTTACAAAATCTTTGAATAAGGAATGAAGTCACCCATAAGGAATGAAGTCAATGTAAGAGAATGAAATATCTATGAGTCTCCTTATTGCAACTTAATCTTTCTCCCATATATTAAAAGAAAAATAAAAAAAATGTTATCAGAGGATGCAAATGATAAAACCTTTGATAAAAATCAACTACTAAAAGAAGGAAAAAAGATAAATAAATAAATATACTTACTCTCTAATTTAGATTTTTTTTCTACTCACGAAACAAATGCAATAATATAACTTATCATGTCAACTTCCATCAACCCTTTGATCAATTAAGTTTAATTTGGTTGTGTAAAATAGCCTTCTTAATCTTGCATGTATATATAGATATCTATTTTAACCAATAAAGCATTATCAATAAGCATTTGGTTTATGTATAATCCTAGCACGGTCATAAGGTCCAACACAAGGCACTCATCCATTAGTGCATAAATGCATAAACAAAAGAGTTTTGCAATCTTTGTGATCTGAATGAATCAACTCAACAAATTATGGTGTGTTACATAGGGGTATTGAAGAGTTATATAAAGGAAAAGCTTGAGATAAATTCAATTTGGTCTCTTTTATATGCTGTCAACTTTGCTTATAAGATAGAATTATAGCTAAATAGAGGCTCTAAGTCGGCACTCAGCTAAAAAACTATCATCCCGTGATCCTTCTAACGTGGGCAATGCTTTTATTAGAGCTCATATCATAATACTTTTCCCTCACCTCTATTGCTACTTGCTATTATCAATTAATTTTTTCTCGCTTTTAAATAGCTTGCAATGGCATGATTTCTTTTCCCTCCCAAAACACCTCTTTTGAAATACTTCAAAGAAATACCTTACTATAATGACATGTCATAAACTAAAAAGGTACAAAATAATGAGTTTTGGATGCGAGGAATAAAAAAAGAAATATTTTGTTTATAGTTCTCATTTACATTATAAGACATTTACATTATAAGAAAATCAAATGTAGTCATGACTTTTCTAACTAATAATGCTACAATAAATAAGTCCATTGCCACTCTCATTAAAATTTTTTATTGTATACTCTAGCTAGTTGAAAGGTGATAAACCCATTTCATGAATTTTTCCAACTTTTGCTTCAACAATTTATTTGTGCTAATACAAAATATATACTCAAAAAGACCACCAATCCTAATATTATATTCTTTTTATTAATCATTAGAAAATGTCTAACTAAAATACTATAAATTATTAAGAATTATAATCTTGTTAACCTCATCCAATCATTTATCTATGTAAGACAACAAACTATGAAACCCAATTTTATTGCATAAAAAGAAAATGGAAACAAAGCATTGCTTTCATTAATGTCAATAATTGCCATCAAAGTATATATTTTATGAACATGTATTCGAACTAAAATTATAATATGTCCAAGTAGATGATAACTAACACAAAATCATAATGATTTGAAATCCAAACAAAATCACCTAATATAATTTTCTTCATATATAGACAAACTACTATATATACCCAAAAAAGACGTGTTTGTAAACACAAGGAAAAAGTAGATTCTTTACATCAATTTATAAGCTTATAAAAATTTGATAAAATTCCATATTTTAAAAGGTTTAATTGAAGACTCCTTTAATCATGTTGTAAAATATGTTACATGTATGTAAGCTAAGAAAGAGAGTACACAATCATTTATTACGTAATAGAACATATGAAAGATTGGAATTAAATCAATTAGTAAAAAAAAATACAACTTAGGCTTTGTTTGAGACGACTTTCTTACTACTTCCTAACAATAAGGAAGTTATCCTAAACAAAACCTTAATATGATAAAATCATTTAAGCATGCATATTTCTTTGAGTTCTCTACAATATTCTTTCAATAACCACATCTTAGACCACAGAATAATGCTTATACAAAATTGAACTAAAATCAATTTCTTCCTCTTCATTCTTCAATGGTATAGTATGGGATATCCTCTTTGCCATGCAAAATCAAAACTCATGACTAAAGCTTCGTTTGAGACAACTTTGCTGTTTTTCTATAAAGTTTTTTTGAGTAGAAAATTTATTGAATTAAAAGTTTTTTTTTTTTAAAATAGTTTTATAAAGTGACAAAAAATTATCCCAAACAAAACATAAAGCTTCTTCTAAAAGTTATTTCCATTTGGACTCTTAAGGATATTTAGAATATCTGACAAATCTTGTGTAATGAAGCTCAACAACTTGTTTGTCTTTTTTTTTTTTTTTTTGGGGAAATTACAACTGTTTGTCTCTCATCCATTCTTCCCATGGATAGAATAGCATCAACTTTTTAAATCATGGGCTAACTTAATAATTGGAGATGATGATTGCTCTTGATGATGACAGCAGCCATCATCCTTGACCACAAGGTCAACAAAAGATTCTTATTTTGCCACATCAATTTTGAGCTCCGCAAGAGCCACAAGATCTTACTCAAAACTTCAATTATGGCGTTCAATATTATTGATCTCTGCAGTGGGCTTCCGGCTAATCACCATCATGAGCTAAAAACAGAAAGCTAAATCAAGTCCAACTCCCTGTAAAGATTTTTTTTTTTTTTGAAATGGGATATCTATCCGCTATCACTTCAAAGAGAGAGTTTGGCGGCGTAACTAATCGCTTGACGGAACCTAGCGAGGCCACCCACCGGCGTCGGACTCACAATTGCTTTGCTCCATTGAAGGGGCGAGTCCGTAGTAGAAGAGATTCGAATCCTGAATGAGGAATTTCCAACCATACTCGCCCATCAATCACTCTAAATCTCTATGGGTATTTTGTGTAAAGTTAGAACCATTTTATCTGACCACAGCAGAATACCATCAGCTTTTACATTATAGATATGCTCATAAAGTGCACTCTGGTTCCCTAATCCTAAGCACAGCTCTCCTTACTGGAAAAACTTATGTACGATTGCCCAACAATTCAAGCACTGTTGGCAGTTTAGGATTCTTCCTTACTGCCACCATTCCCTTTTCTGGGATCCTTGGTGTTTTGGCAAGTCTCTTATGAATTTAGTGGACATAAATTCTGATTTTAGCTGGATGGAAAGTCTTAATCGTGAGGCTGTTTCTCACATTATGCTGGATGGAAAATGGGAAATTCCTAACCAATGGCCCTCCAATCTTACGAACACTATTGCTTCGGTGCCTATCTACAATGTTGATTGTGGTTGCCTGTGGTATAATACTGATAAAGTTTCGAATAAACTGTTTCTCAAAGAAATTTTTAAACATTATCCGGTTGTGAGCTGGCACCGTTTTGTTTGGCATAAGCATTCCTCTATCAGATTCTCTGCTTTTGGTTGCCTTGCTGTGAAAAATGGTTTAAAAACGGCAGATCTTTTGCTTAGACGTGGCATTAATGTAAACCCTTACTATATTTTATGTCAGGACTGTAGAGATTCTCATACTCATCTCTTTTTTGAGTGTGATTTCTCTTTCGGGATTTTGAATTCTCTGATACCTCAATCTCAAACTCTGCTGCTCCGTCCTAACCTCTTTCAGGTTTATGATTTTATTGATGATATTTCCGACACTAGTGAGATTCTGAATTTCTTTTGTCTTCTGATCAACACTTCCATTTACTTCATATGGCGAGCTAGAAATGACAGATTTTTTGGTAATATCATTCAATGTCATACTACCGTGGTTAGAAAAATTAAAAAAGCTATATATGCAAAGCTGGAGAAATGGAAAAATGGACATAATCTTATGCATCTTTTGGGATGACTGGGGCTCTTTCAGGCGGACTGTCTTTTTGGCTGGTTTCTCTTATTGGTTGTTGGCTAACTCCTATTCTGCTTATGATGTCTCTTTATGTGTTGGCTGGAGCTAGAGTTGGGTGGTATCGGTCGGATGCTATTTTTCTTTCTGGTTTCGTCCTGGATGGCCTCTTTGGCAACCAGGGAGAATGGTTTTTGTTATTTCAGACATTTTTGCAGGACAATGATGATCGCTGCAGCACCGCCCCTTGGAGGGTCAATTTTGGCAACCAGGGGTTTTCTCTGATCATTCTGATGCTCAAGTCCCGCTCGATTATTGTTGCAGCTTATGCCTGAGTCCTGATCAATTTTGTATACCACAAATTTGTTGCCTTTTCTTTGGTTTGTATTTCCGGTGGTATAGTTTTTCAATTATCTTTTTTATGTAATTTTGCTTTTCCTCTCCTCCCCTGCTTTTGCTTGGGGCTAGATTTTATTTACTTGTAATTTTTTCATAGTTAATAGATGGGCTTAGACCCCAAAATTTCCCAAAAAAAAAAAAAAGTAAAAAGGGCTGAGTATAAGTTTAAATAAAAATATCCTCCGCTTTTTTCTAGTTTTCTTCCTTAAGCTTTCTGCAGTGAGCTTCCGGCCTTTTCTTCTTTCATGTTTCTACTGCTACAGGTAACGCAAGCAGTGAAAAATATATTCTGACATAGCAGATTTCAACAATTTGATAAAGAACTAACAACTAAAAGGAGAAAAAAAAAAAAGTAATATGAAACCTTGTAAATATAAAATATTCCGGGTATTTTTTATAAAGGAGCATGAGTAGTAAATGATTTAGTAGTAGGAGCATGTTTTAATTTTTTTTAAAATATTTAGATCATTTATGATAAGTGAGATTAAAATTAATTTAAGTAAGACCAATATTATGAAAACATACTGCGCATTCAATTATCGAAAACGCCCTCGATAATGAAATAAAAAACTTCACGTTCATGATCACGCCTGCCACTCACATTATGGAAAACGTCCTGTAACAAGATTCCTGACAACAGGAGTATGGCTCAGCCACTATCACTGTAAAAAGTCCCCAACAGCTTCATGGTCAGGGATCTGAACCGCTGAAGCATAGCAAGCTTAATCCTGCTTAGCTTATCAAAACTTCCCTCTAGTTCTCTGGTTTTTCTCGGTTACCGCTAGTTCTTCACTAAGAAGAGATGATAGGGGAAGAAAGCAGAGAAAGAAGAAAGGAAGGACATGCACTAGCAAATAGCAATCGATCGAAGGAACCGCTGAAACAAATAAGAACGCAGGAGTTAACCACGATGAGTTTTATATGCACCTAAATTATTTATAGGACCCACCTAAATAGAGCCCTACATGGGGTCTTGGTTGGATACCCATTGGGTACCCAGGCTCTGCGTTGGCGGGCTTTGCCCACCCACACCCACATATGGTGACTTTCCGGATGTAATACCCACCCACACCCACCAACTTTCTACGCTTAATGAATGCAGTCTGCCATAGAATAATGACCTTGAGGCCATTTTCTCTGACTGTAAACTTTCAAGCCACATATCAAAATTTACCATGATTGCGATGCAGTTAAGTATTGCGCACTGCGTAGTAAGGATTATTATAGTATATTGCATGTATATGATAATTAGTAATGTAAATCGATTCTCCTCTGATGCTGAATACCCACCCACGAGGCTATGGGCGTACCCATACCCACCCATGCTCATTGGGTATCGGTGGGTACGTGGGTAGGTGTGGGTATGGGTACCCAATGCAGGGCTCTGCACCTAAACTAGTTAAAGTGTCCACCTTTTGAGGAGAAATTATTTTGTGCGGTCCATCCAGAGGTAAATCAGAACGTGTCATGTCACCCGGTACACAGCCACGGTACACAATAAATGGGTAACGTGACGCATTCTGATTCGTCTCCGGACAGCATTCGTTTCGAATCCGCACAGAATAATTTCATCCCTATACTCAAATTAACACTTCATAAAGGATAATTAAATTATGAGATTATGCTTCAAAGTAAGTGTAATTAATCCTAAACATGAGCAATATTAGGAAAGCCATAAACACAAATAGATTTTATATAAAACAGGACAAAATCACAAAACAACTGAAAGAATCAAGCCACAACCTTTAGCCTCTTCACTACAACTATGAGACAGAGATGGTACAATTGCTTCTTTTTTAAAAAATTTTGAGAAAGATAGAATTTGGGATGGCAGTTCACTAAAAAGATAAATATTCAACGAGAAGCAGTGCACCATTGCAGCGGCGAACAAACACATCAATAAGCGAATAACATGCGCTGAGTGCAGAAGCAAATACATTAGTAACGACAATATTTTAATAGAAAAATAATAATTTTTTTTAGTAAGGGATTTTACAAACACGTATGTATAGGAGGTGATGAAAAATGCAAAATATGAAAAATGGTATAGATCATTAGGATGAATAGGAGTCGCTTCAAAAAATAGTAAAAGTATATTTAGGAAGAAATACCAATCCACATTCCTGCTCATTCACGTAATTGAAAACATGCAAGCAATGGAAACCTTACCAGAGAATACTTAAAGCAGTGTATGAAATAAAAGATAGCAAAGCTATTGAGGATAGAGTGTTAGTTCTATATGGAATTTAATTGTGTCGATCAATTGAATTGTATTATAGCCTCATATCTCAATTCAATCGGTTCAACTCGCTAGAGGGATTGAAAGGGAATTGGATAGCTGCATTTCTTATTTTTCATGTCTAATTTGAAGGGTTGCAACCTTATATTATGTGTAGTGTAAGAGCTTTGAAGTGAAGAGAGACAAAGAGAGAGTGAGAGAGAAGAGATGTTTACTATTTCTTTCAAATTTTTATAATGAATTTCTTGGTGTAGTGTTGCTCGATTTTTTTTTTTTTTCAATTTTGAAATTTTCACATTCAATCTTGATGTTATTTCTTTTATGTTCCATTTTTCTCTTTCTTGTATGAGTTTGATGTGGTCTTTGAAATATCAATTGCAAGCTCAATCACTGGAGGTCATCAGCTAAGTTTAAGTGGCTGTCAGTCAAAGATTAAGATTTTATTTGAGACAATTTTTTTATTGCTTCTTAAAGCAATTTATTAATTAAAAATTTTATTATACTAAAAATTTTATATTAAAAAACTATTTTTAAAAAACAATAAAAAAATTTTCTCAAATAAAATCTAAGGGCCACTAAATTATTTTATACCCACCTAAACTAAAATATCCTTATAAGCACATTTTTAGGAACTTTTATTCTGTCTAGTGAACGTACGCAGAGGAAGGTTCGGTTTTAGGCAAAAAAGGTACACCTCGGTACAGGCGCTTTTTTGCCGAAAACCGAACCTTCCTCTACATCCTTGCACCGGACCAAATAAAAGTTCCATTTTTAGACACATGAATGTCATAGTAATTGTTATGTAAAAAAGGATCATTTATATAATTTGACTAACTCACAAAACAACGGTAACTTATTTTAAACAAGAGCAAAAACAACGGTACTATTTTTTTTTTCTAACATGATAACATGCATAACAGCACAATCAAGTAAAACTTTGACAAAAAGATTTATATGATATCACCTAACATGGATTCATAAACCCTAAGCAACGCTGAACATGAAAATAACCTAATAATAAAGCATATAACTTCAACACATAATATCTAGAACACACAAACACATAGAGATGTTAGGTAAAACAGGACAAAATAACCTTATAGCTAAAGCAAGCCAAAGAAGACGAGAGTGCTACTCAATCAGCGGCCTTAACGGCAATCCTGTCAATAATCTTCGCCACCACCTCCTTCGATTCCCTCAGCAGCTGAATACTCTTCCTTAAACGCTCCCTCTTCCCGGAAATTGCAGGAGACTCCTCCAACATCTTCTCAATACAATTCATAGACCGGCCACCGACCACATCGTTCATAATCTCAGTTTCAAGCTCATTTTCAACAAGTTTCTTCACATCATAAGCTATATTTAAAGCCAAAACATCCACCAACCTCAGCACCACACTCTTCCAATACGAAATTTGCCTCATCCTTATATCAAAAGCTTGTTCTACAACAACATCACGCCTCCCCCGCAGATGAGACACATCCACTTCACCAACAGCTTTAAGGATTACTTTTGTAGGTGTAAAGTTATTGTGAACCACTTCCATGAAGCGTTCTTGTTGCTCCATTAGCTCCACCCACTTCTTCATATAATCAGGACTATAAGTAAAGTCCGTAACCATTTCCATTTCTATAATTTCTTTTACATTCCGGATCGACCGTCCCCTCATTTTCTCAATAAGATTGAGTGCCGCCCTTCTGCTGCACGCCTGAAGAGGTGGATAATTCTCCGATGCCTCGTCAAGAACTGCCACCACTAAATCTTCTAAGTAAATCCATACCTTCTCAACAAAATCCTGCGGGATGCTCGAGACCTCTTTTACCCTCTTTTGAAGCAGAATCAAAAAAGCTGTTCGAGGAAGAAAGTTGGGCAGCCAAATGCCTCTATTCTCTTCCAACACCTCAATTTCCTCTAACAAGAAAGCCGCCTCCTTAGTCGGGATATTATCCGGCAACGCCGCAGCATAAGCATTCAGCATTTCAGCCATGCGCGCTGTGTCATGCATTTCTTTATCATCCGGAAAATCGTCAAATTCTCCTCTTATTAGCAACTTCCTGAGCATCTCCTTAGTTTTGCTGATGATCTGCATGAACGCTCTCATCGCGTCGCCAACGGTGACCAGATTTTGAGGCATGGTCTCCAGTTCTGAGACATTGCGGTTCAGCTTCTCATTGATTTTCTTCACAATATCAGGCAAGCATTTTGCTATGCTTTGCGACTGTATTCGCATCAACTTGTTTGCCAAAACAGGGATGCCAACTATCGATTTATCGATCTTGGAAAGCAAATGATGGGATTTGAACAGATTCGCTTCTGCTGCGCGAGCCTCCTCATATGTCTCCGACCCAATACGATTCCTCACGCAAACGTAGCCTAGCCCAATGTTGACGTCGTCAGCAGTTACTTTCTCAAGAAGGCCCTCCGGCGACTTATCAGCCTTGGTGACAACCGCCAATGTCCTCTCGCCTTTGCCGTCCACCTGCTGCGACATCCGGATGGACTCGCAGGTCGGGAAGTCGACACTTGCGGATAGTACATTAAGAATAATGCTCTCCGCCGGCTTTATATACTGCATTATAATGGCAGCGATCTGCTCGTAGATGTTCTCAGGCTGGCCGTGCACGGGTACTCGGGTGATGCCGGGCAGGTCCACCATGGTGAGATCGGGCACGCCCTTCTTTCGGACAACAAGGGTGAGTGGCGTGTCGGAGATGCCTTTGCCGGAGCCGGCGATCTCAGCCGTCGCGGACTCGATGGCAGCAGTGATGGAAGACTCGGAGGTAGGGACCTGCTTGCCTTTGTACTCGAGGTGGAGTATAGGGGAGGAAAGGGAGGGGTCGTCTTGGAGCCGCATGATGAGGGGGACTCGGGTACATATGCCTTGCCCGCGGGGGAGACTGATGCCAGCAAGAGATTCTAAAACAGAGGACTTGCCGGAGGATTGGTCGCCGACGACGACGATCGTGGGGAGCTCGATTCCTTCCTGCATCACCTTGAGTTGGCGAAGGCGGTCGACGGCGTCGAGGAGGGGACGTATTTGGTCGTTGTACGAGCAGGTGAGAGCGTTGAGGGTTTGGATTTGTTTGCTGTCTTCGCAACAAGGAGGCGCCATTTTGGTCTGTTGTACGAGCAGTTCTCACTTTGGTCTTGGCCTTTGTGTGAAGCATGGCTATTTATGCGTGTAATGGCTGACGGTAATTAGTGGGGATGAAAGAAGTCTTTACAATATAATAAAGATAATTTATTAAAAAAAATTTGAGCTAGATTAAAGTAATACATAATTTTAATTTTTCAATTGAAATAAAAAAATATAGAGCAACTTAATTATAATCATTTTAAATAATAATTATTTTGCTTTAACAAAATTTATAAGTCCTAATATTTTTTTTTCTATTTTCCTTTTATCCTATTGAAAGAACTAATACCAAAACGCTTTTAAAGTAAGCTTTAATATTGAGAATGTAAAAACTGTGTTAACTCACACACACAACACATACACAAAGACTCGAACCTAAGACCTCTTAGTTGGAAGCCTAAACTCTCAACCAACAAGACAAGATGAGCTGTGTGTGACATCAACTCTAAAAGACTAAGATAACTACTAAATGCTAAAGAAGCATTTATAGTATAAATGACTAAGCATAAATGACTAAGTCAGTCAACTGTGATGTACTGCATCACCTATTATATATTTCTATGTCATTTTTATTTTAACTTTTAATATTCTTAACTTTCTTTTATCACTTCTTTATTCTTTTATTAATGTGTCAATGCATAGTAAATTTTTTCTATGCGGACATCAGTTTGTTTGGAGGCAAATCAAAGCTCGTGACTTATGCCCTAATAGTATTTACACATTGATGCTTTATTAGCCTCCTATGAAAAGAAAATCACGGAAGTAATATACTTTAAAAATATGATTTTCTTACTTACTTTTTCCGAAATAGCATTTTACTATAAAATTTTTCAAAAATGGCTTTTTTTTCCTTTTTTTTTTGGTTTTTCGAAATATTAATCGCTTTCCCAAAAAAAAAAAGGAAATATTAATCGACGTACCAACGAATCTTCAATCAGACAGACCAATCCCAGTCACTTTATTACAAAAGAACCAAAGAGGCTCTTTACTTCGCATGGAAGGAGCCATTCTGAACGAACTTTCGGTCCACTTTTAAGTCGGACATGCAACGCTTTTGTTTTTTTATTTTTAAGGTTTTTATTTTGGGATTTTTACATACATAACACTTAAAAGTTTTTTATTTACTCATCAAACATCTAAACTTACTTATTTACACACTTACCACCTAAAACTTATTTTACTTTCTAAAATACCATTCCGCCCTCATCTCCATCAAAATCAGCCCGATACCACACACGTTTTCCGAGCTTCATGAGTTAGCCGCCTCTGGCTACGTCACCGCTTCGGTCTTGCCGCCTCGCATTAACCCGTTGCCGCCACGTCTCCGGCCCCTGATACGGCCGGTGCCTACTCTCTTCCCGCATTGCTATTATTCGGTGAACTCCGCTCATGATCGCGGACGCCTTTGGCAGCCTCAACGTCCTCCAGTTTATTCTCTCACTCTCCGCTGCCGTCGACGTCGACCTCCATTGCGGTTCTGATGTTGTCACTGCCACCCTCCTCATTGCCTGGCCCACCGCCATCTTCCTCCTCTTCTTCTTCCTCTCCGCCATCGCCTTCACTCTCTACTGGCATTTTTTCCCGACCGGTGGCGGCGCCTTCAAGACGCTTATTCTCTTCGGCAGCGCCGTCGCGGCGGAGACATCGCTCTGCGCCTTCAGGTGATGTGTCCCGCAGGCAAGGGGGCCAGAGCTTTGGGGCCTACTGCTGATGCCGATTGTGCCGGCGATCTCCATTTTTCTCAATGTTGTTCTGCTCAGACTGGTTGACCGGCCATCATACATCCATTTCGGTCTATTTATGGCTTTTCCGTCGTATTCATGTGAGCTTCGACGCAGAAACAGCGTTAGTTGTTTGTGGCGTTCATGTGAGCTTCGACGGTGAGTTGTCAGCAGAGGCCCAGCATTTCCTTGGATGAATTCCGATTCAAATTATTTTGTTGTTTCCCCCGTTTTTTTTTTCTGCCTATGCCCTGTTTCGAGATTTTGTTCTCAGATTTGGCATTAATTCTTTCTCCGACGGGATTCTTGCGGATGGAAACGACATCGAGATAATAAAAACAGCAACAACACACGACCTTTTCCCTCCTAGCCTGTCGAGAATGCACGGAGACGAGACCAGCCTGTGCGGTGTCAGGCGGATTTTGACGGAGGGAAGACGGGATGGTATTTTAGAAAGTCAAATAGGTTTTAAGTGGTAGGTGTGTAAATAGATAAGTTTAAGTGTTAGATGAGTAAATAAGAAACTTTAAAGTGTTATGTATATAAAAATCCCTTTTATTTTTAAGGTGCTGTTTGATCGCCTCAAAAAAGAACTATAATATATTCTGAATAAAGTGTAAAGTAAATAGATATATTAAGAATATTTTAGATTAGTTTGATTATTTGCAAAGTAAATACATAAAAATTATTATTTGCAAAGTTTTTAATTCAATCCCTCTTAGTTTATAGTCAAGACTTTTAACGAGCAGATCAAAATGAGTTGCATTCAAATTCTTAACAATTTAATTCAAAATTTAGATGTTTTAAATTATTTTTTTAAATGATAGTGATAAATTGAAAATTATGTCATTCAAATTTGTGATCTTATTAAAACAACCTTCCCCTCTATTCTTACTTGGGGGTGTCAGATGGAGTTAGTAGGTTGGATTCAGATTTGACCCAATTTCTCATAGAGGGTCTGACCCAAATATTCTTTATTTCAACTCAACCCAATTATTATATATGTTTAAATCTTTGATACTAATTAACACCAACTCATTTAACTCAAATGTGATATGTTTAACCCAAACAAGATTTGTTTAATCCAAACACTGGCCTTTTTAACCCATGTGCGACTGTTTAGTAGGGGTGTCAATTTCGGGTCATGGGTCGGGTTCAGGTCGAACCCGGAATTGACCCGGGTTCAAACGAGTCGATTCTAACCCGACTCGGGTAGGTAAACGGGTCGGAAATTCGAACCCGGACCCAACCCGACGGGTTGCCGGGTTGACCCGACCCGACCCAGCAATGCAGGCTGCCTGGCACATACGCGTGGGCTACCGGTTGCATGGGTCGGGTTCAGGTCGAACCCGGAATTGACCCGGGTTCAAACGAGTCGATTCTAACCCGACTCGGGTAGGTAAACGGGTCGGAAATTCGAACCCGGACCCAACCCGACGGGTTGCCGGGTTGACCCGACCCGACCCAGCAATGCAGGCTGCCTGGCACATACGCGTGGGCTACCGGTTGCGGATGTGAGCGGCAAGAGTGGTCGCTCGGGGCGAGTGTGCCGGCAGGGTTCGCGGGGCGGGAGGGGTTGCGGGCAGCCGCTCGGGAGCACCGGCTATGAAAGCCATGCTGTGAGCGCTTGTAGTTAAT